AACACACCTGAATCAAATGATTAGTTCATTACCAGGCCTCTGGAGAACTTCAAGAAATGCTGAGGAGTCATTTAGCCCTTTAAATCAGCTGTGATGGATCATGGACACATCTAAAACCTGCAGGACACCAGCACTCGAGGCCTGGAGTTGCCTACCCCTGTTCTAAACCATTGTTTCCAGACCAAATATTTAAAAAATTTCACCCGTTCCATTGTTGCTGGATGCCTGTTGGGTGTTTTAGATATTTAATACCCTTAAAAGAAACAGTAATAGGGGATGCATAAATTATAAATTAGACCAACAAAACCTCAGCTAACTGATTCAACTGATTAGTGTTGATTACTGATTTTATCTGTATTTGTATCCTCTTCATACATAGAAAAGCCATCCATCAGCTGTATTAATATAATTTATTTTTGATCCCTTTTGCAATATGCACACCACATTAGATGTGCACCACCATCTTCACTGTATTTTTACATTTTATGACACTGTGAATCTTCTACATTGTGCCTGTGTCTTCCTTCCACTGATATTAAAGCCGGTACAAAAACCCTGCATTACTGTAGTTCCAGCAGTGACAATGCAGAACATCTTGTTATAGTTTTCAGTAAAGCACACAGTCCCCTCCCTCTCTCTCCTGCATAGAAAGTGATGGCTCAAGTCCCACAGATACGACAAATCTTACACATCCTGATAACAGCTGTCATATCCTCCTTGCAAAAAACAGCTTCACGCTGCATTGCAACCACATATATCAAACTAGAGCAACAATGCAAGGAGAAAATTTATAAATACATATCTACATGGAGCATCCTCTCTGTGAGCGAGACTCAGCTGAACAATAAATTAAAGATACGCGCCACAAAAAAAAAAAAAATAAAGAAAAAAAATCACTGCACAGCTAAACAGATATGATAGTTTGAGTGGTTTATTTCCTCACCTTGGCAGCACTCTTCAGCTGATACATGGAGGGGTCGTCAGCTGGTTTGCCTGCAGCACATTTGGTGGCACCAATGAGTTCGGCCAGAGCCTTGGCCACATCCCGCACCGCGTTTATCAGAACCACCTGGGGGGATAGAGCTGGAATCAATACAGCACAATGGTCAAAGTAAAGGTTTATCAGTTGAGCCCTAGGGAGAGGATTTACCACTGCAGTCCTTATCACTCCCACCTTGTCATGATACTTCAGACTTAGTGGAGGGTAGAGATAGAGACATATACACAGGGGAAGGAAGAGACCATGTTTATCAGATCAAACTGCAATTATATAGAAAAATCTTACATACTTACTACTATCTACAAGAAAGATAGTAGATGACTAACAATAGAGTACCATATTATGATGACTGCTGAATTATAAAAGTTCTTTCTGGAGATAAATATATACTTTTTTAACCACTCTATTTCAGATTCTGATTACCTGTGTCTCTGGGTCCTCAGAGCCCATACTGGTTGCTCCCAGTTTGACCACCTCTGTGAGCTGAGTGATGGTCTTGGCTGAAGACTGGGCAGCCTGGGCCAGTTTCTCCTGGGTTGACGCTGCCCCAGCAACCAGCAGCTTGGTGTCTTCCACTAGTGCCTTGGCTGTCTTCAAGATGCTTTCCCTAAAGGATGGGACACATTGTGACACAATCTGCTCCAAAGTCACACTTAACAGCGATAGGAAAGAAAGCCATGACTGCTTTCTGAGCAAAACTACTGCACATTATGTGAAATGCAGGTCAGTGTTTAGCTTTCTTGGCAGCTGCATTTCTTTCAAGTGAGTCATCAAAACAAGACTGAGGCTCAAGTGTATGGAGAACAGTGTAAGTGCAGCAACTTAAAGATATAACTCCCATGTGCCGCGAATCTGTAAATCCATTTCACATTTTTAACATCTCAAATGGGACTTTATGGTAACAGGAGGTTTAGAGTTTTGGTCTTTGCCTGAATGTCTTGCTTGTGTCTCATCGCACCTGTGGTCTGCAAAGGACTCTTCATTCTCAGGGTTAAGTGTTCCAGCTGAGGCGAACATGATGGTGGTGTCCAGGTCAGCAATAATTCCAGAAACTGCGCCTGCTGCAGTGATACAGGCCTGAGTGCCTTTGTTTCCTGCTTGTAGGGCTGAAAGTACCAAGGACACCTGGAACATGCATGTGTTACAATAGTTAGACAGCAAGGTCCCTTAAACATCTTGTTAGAAGGCGTAAAAAAGGCTAAAAGTTAACCTTGTTGATATATTGTGCCGGTTTAATGATTGTACAGCAGGTGTTGTCTGAGACTTTTATAAGTGAAACGAGTTACCCTGCAAATGTTCAGAAACATCTGGAAGATATGGATTAAACAAGGAAGCTGGGAATAAGAGGAATGGGCCCCACTAAACGTTAAATCAGAGTCTGCTATGCATTCACATTAAGTCAGTGAGCCTAATGCTGCAAGTCACACAACTCCCTCGAAGACTCGTGTCTGCTCATCACTCATAAACAAATGGAGGGCCCTGAGGTGTGCATTTCAACAAGGCACAAGCTTCACATATCAACAAGTGTGAGAGCACAAATTATTCAAGACTGATATGAGCGCCGAATCAAATCATTTCCTTGGAGTGAAGACAAAATGTGTGAGCAGCATGGCTAGAAGCTGCCAGGGTCACAGCGTGGAGACATTAATATTGTCAACTGCACAGTGTGAGGGTGGTCAGAAGAACATGGCCTCATGAGTGCTACAATAATACAGTCAGGCGACGCTAAAATTTGATTCATTTAATCTTTTTTTCTACAAAATGTAAGATTAAAAAAATAATAATAATAAATTATTGTATTATTATATATTACCGCACAAGCTTATCTTCTTTATAGCTTTATGTGATTAGCTATAATTAAAGAATACAGCTATAACACTGAGCAATGATTTAACCATTTTGTAAAATGCTAAAACTGAATTCATGTTTCATGTTACATAGATGAGATTTTGAAAGTCAAAATAATGTGGAAAATTAGCTTTTTCCCCTGAATGAGCCGTTTAGGTTTCTATCCATATCGCTTACCTTCTCTGTGACTGCACGGGCGCACTCGATGAGCTCCCGTTTGGAGAAGCTGTCCGTAGGGCTGAGCTGCAGGGCTCCAGCCTTCTGGACCAGGTAAATACAGCCATGGCCCAATTCTTGCACCCGCGTCTTTATCTGGAAGCCAACCTGAAAGCATAACCAGGCATCAGCTTCACTGCAGCCATCTCATTTGTGTCATTATACTACACAATAATCTCCTTAACTGGCATCTCTCTTATCCAGCGGGTGGGTGATAAATGATTTCAAGCACCCTCAGAGAGGGAATGCTGGCACTACACCTTTAATTTCCAGACTGCAATTCATGGGTGGGTGGTACTTCATTACAAGCATCACTATAGGCTTTTAGACTTGTAGAGGCGAAATGTCGCTATGGTAACCAGCAGTCTGTTATATACAAGATATTGATAAGAGCGGTGTGCTTATTAGTGCAATATTTCCACACATTGCTGTCCTCTGGACAACAGAGAAAAGCTTCAAGTCAAGAGTCCGTGGGTGCTGCGAGAGACTGATGCTGGAGGGTTACATTTCTGTTTGATCTCACATTGCTGGTGCAGCCTTGAGGAAGAGGCGTCATATCAAAGAACACCAAACATCTGCTCTGATCAGTGTGTGAGCAAATACATCCGGAAGCATTTTGGTGTAAAATGCAGACCTATGCTGATAACTCAGTCTGACATTTCTGCAGCACAATTGCTAAAAGATGCAATGAATAATGATTTTTTTTTTTCCCATACAGGAGTGTAACGTTCCCCCCCCACATCCTCCACAAAAAAGAAAAAAGAAAAAAAGTGTTCTCACCTCCTCTGGCTCTGCAGTGGCTGCAGCAAGGTATCCTTGGTGTGCCAGCTGTCCGTAGTCCACCGTCACCTGAGAGGCAAGGCCACCGAGCTCTTCGGGGCAGGTTACCGACTTAGTCATCTGCGAGAATATGCATCAACTGATTAATGTTCCTTCAGCACTATCGTCAAACATTGGCATTGAAGATTTAATGTAAATACTGCAGACATGAGTGACGCATGAATATTGTAATGCATTTGCATGCTCACCATCTCCTGTGCTGTGATGGCAATGGCCTTAGAAAATTTGACCATGGTGGTTTGGTAGTCTACAAAGGAACCCTCGGGTTCAGGGGGTGTTCCTTCAGCCAGCTGTAAAGATTAAACGGTAGCTACAGATTTGGTTTAAGGTGTATACATAAACAAATATTCACAAATATGAATTAGAAAATCAATAACCTAATTTCGAATGAACACGCTTAATAATGAACAATACAGAGTTAGTTTTATTCTGCATCATTTGAAAATCCTTTAAGTGTATCTTGCTTTGTCCATTGATGCAGGTTCCAGAAAGAAATGGAAAATTTTTGCACACCAGACAGATCAGGCTGATCATTAAATATGTAAGGATGATATGCTATCTGCCTTTTTCAGATGCATTTGTGCTCCGAGTCCAAAGAGAGAGCGCTGAGTGTTTTATTTTTTCAGCTGGAGAATGTCCAGTGAATTAGTAAATATGTTGGTTGCAGTGCATTGACAAAGTCAATAAATCTTAGATAGACAAAATACTTGTAATGTCCTGGATGTCAGATTACACCAAAACAGTATACAATTGTTATTCTTTACTTCACATGTGAAGGATACATATGAAATTTCCTACAATTCCTACAAAAGTCTACAATTAATAGATTAAAAGTGCTGTGCTGAATTTGCTAATTCCAACCTTATTTCTTTCCCCTGAAGCAGATACAACCCCATTTGTTTCACAGTTACGTGTCAAATGATATATTTTTTTAAATGTATACATTTATTAAGCCGTTTCCACTTTGTGTTCTTCACGGATATTCCATTTTCTAGATAACATGCACATTCTAATTAAAAGTGTAAAAGGCACAAGAAGGGAAAAAATAGGTGTTTGCTGAACTGGGCCAAGTGCTTTACATCCGAGTTTGCACATGTCGCTGTCAGTTACTAACTAGACTGTCAACACACATGACCTCTAGCAATATGACTGAAAACTAACATCACCAGTGGGCTGTGGATTTTAAAACGTGCCATCTTCTGGACTAATAAGAGTCATAGACAAGCACACTCTTTCAGAACACCCACTGTGGCTTTGAGAGAAAGCTCATTCTGCTTTCAGACAAGTCGGAGGTCAAGTGGAAACTTGAAATCCACTCAAAGTACTCAAGAAACATTCTCTTGAAACTGAATGACGACAACAACAATCTTTACTCACCCTGCCCATAGCCTCAGCGATGGACTCTACCATACCCCCAACCATGCCGCCCTCGCTCGCTGCCTCATTCAGAGTCACCATGATGTCGTCAACAGCCTCCTTCATCAGCTGGGCTGCTTCATTGATGGCATCGTGTGTGTGGGATGCCTGAGGACACGGGCAGCTGATTAACGTTACTGTGACGCCATCTCGGTTTAGCCAGGAGGTAATTCATCAGCTTGACAACAGCTCTACAGTGCACCTCAAGCTAGTAAGAACTCAGTGTCCAACTAGAGGACGTGTCACCAGGCTGGTTCCTTTCTGATTTAAGAACAGACATCATCCCTGCTGGCTAATAATTCAAACTTAGTCTAGTTTGTACAATAGTAAATCTATATCTCAGAATGTAGCCATAAAAATAAAATTATAAAAGCCTGGGGTAGTCAGACAATCTGATAAGAAAAAAAAAAAAAGCTTCTAAGGAGCTAATTTCAATGTTTTATGGCTGTAATGATGGCAGCAGAGTTTGAGTAAAAGCACAATCATTTCAGAATGGGATTAGAAGTTGTGCTATGAACAGGTTTAAAAAAAATCACTTAAATCTTAAAATCAATTCCAGCACTAATATAGAAAACTTAAAAAGAACTCCTGAGGCTTTGTTCTGCTCAGTTTGATAATACAAATGGTTTATAGCTGAAAGAATTAGAGAAACTGTGAAAGAAGGGATTCATTAATGTGCAACAATGAATGGACTGACAACGATGGACAAAGATGTTCCATTATTTTTGAAACTCGTTGTTTTCCATTCCATTACAGCTCATCTCTGAAGTCAGGCAAAACACAGCATCGACACGAATAGTAAAATTGACTCTGTGCACTACCTTTGGGTTTCCCCCGCCTTCCTTGGCAGCATAAAGCATCTGCAGGGCGGACTCAGCAAGCGTCTTGGTCTGGTCCAGGATGGTCATCTGCTGCTGGTGGTCATGCAGCTTAGAGGCCAGGCCCACCGATGCCATAATGAGTGGCTCAAAGTAACTGGCCAGCTGGGTTACCTGAGACAAAGCATTTAGGACAGTAGTCAGAGAAAAGTTGAACCAAAACATACAAAACTGTGTGTTTGCCTCCTAAATTCAGAGGGAATGAAGAGATACACTGTCAGACTAGCACCTTGTGTCCTAGTTGGGCAGCTTCGCCTCGGGCAGCTGTAAAGACTGGATCAATGAGATGACCAATCTCCTGTACCGAGGATGTCAGCTGCTCCTGGAGTGCCTGGTGAGTTACAACAGCAGGGAATTACAGTAAAAGTCTCAACAGAAAGACTACAGATCTCATTAAGTTCCTCTTCCCTCTCACACAGGATACAGCTGATGGGGGATTTGAACTCACTTCCATGGAGATATCATCTCTGCAGGGTAGGGTCTGGCCAACCGCTGCTAGTGAAGCTTGCTCAATGTCCCGGATACACTTATTGATGTTATCAATGGAGTAATCACACTCCCTCTGTCCCGGTGCCTTGTCCCTGTCACCAGAAATAATGGGAAAAAAAGAGACAAATGTCTCCACCTTAATGTGCAAATAAATATATAATAAGAAAATCTGGAGATTTGAGTTGTAAGAAAAATGATGCTCATATCTACCCATAGCAGATTAGCTTAGATAAATATAAACAGTGAAAACAAGGAAAAGAAGCTTGCTTGGTTAAAAAAAATAAAGATCAAAAAATGAAAAAATATATATTCACCTAAAGCCCTAAAGCTCACAAATGAATCTGTAATGCAATCTGTAATCTTGCAGTCATATTATTACCATGGGCTTTACCAGGCAATCAGCACATAGTCACAATGGTCTACCTAGCTAATCAGCCACTGGCTTGAAACTCATTTTTGTTATGCAGGCATGAGAACGCCATCATTTTTCATTCAGCTCCCGAGAGAAAGTGGCAACACGTTTCCTTCAAATGCTTGAATACTCGAAAAATACTGACAGTCAAGGTTAAATGTTAATGTCTGTTAATTGTAGGTCTTAGTTGCTGTGAGAGCTGGTAGGACACCACATAATGAAATGTGTTTCAGATCCACCGTAGCGAGCCCCACCGTTCGCTAATCTATTACTAAGCAGTGGGGAACTCAGTAGCTATATACTAATGCAGCAATTTCCTGCTTAGCTGAAAAGTTGTCACAAAAAAGTCCTCCAATATGAGAATTTATTTTCTCTCACTGCAAGGAAACCTTTCTAAACTTTGAAGACATGGCTGCAGAGACAGATATGATCACAGGCGGGATTAACACAAACCTAATAGAGGTGATGAGACTCTTGATGGAGTCAGAAACTGTCCTGGAGTGGCCGGCTAGTATGGACCAGGTGGGGGGATCTTTGGGGTTAAGGACCAGTGAGCGGGCTGTTTCTAGAAGGTAAGTGGAGCTATCGAGCATGGAGCGGGCTGAACGCACAATGGGCTCCTGTGCTGCTGAGCCCTGTGGAAATGAAAAGATTAGTGTAGGAGAAACAACGGCCCAGGTAACAGCTCGACAGTGAAGAGCTAGCTATACTGGTCTGACAGCTGTTAATATTCCTTGACTACCTGAGCGAGATCAAAGGTGCAATCAAAGGGAGGGATGAGATTAGACAGGCAGCTTTACACAGACTCACGAAGAAACACCTTCAGTCTTTATGATACGAGCAAAACCCCCCCTTGACAATTAGATTAACAAGCTGAAGATTAGAGCAGCTGTGCTAAGAGAAAGTGCCGTTAAACACTGCCCTCCAACAGATTACAGCCATAAAGCTTTTAGAGGACTATGCGCAAACTATTGCACTCAGATTGAACAAAAAATACATCCTTCTTTTTGAGCCTTTCCTTGACAATAACAAAAGGACCTCAATTCAATTTCCTCTCCTGCTCACAGCACAAACCTTTGCTTGTTGGCTCAAGTAAAAGGCAGTTTTTAAGCAAACTGAATACACAAGTCACAAACACTCGTTTAATCTCACTGAAAAGCGCAATATCTTCTGTAGGATGAACTGAACATTTTCACTGCTCCTAAAAAAAAAAAGTCACAGATCTCATTTGTGTTGTTGAAAAGATTTTTATTAACTTTCCGTCATTTAACTAGAAAAGGTGAAGGACATTTTAAAGGAGCATTATAAACAAGCATCAACTGAACGAATACCTCATTGCTGATCTGAGCTGGAATGCTTGCAAAATCGGGGTTGTTGGCAAAGGTCGTCAGGTTTTCCACAGCCTCGAGGAGCGGGGCTGTAGCAACGCGGCACCTGTTTCTATTCTCTTCGGAAAAATCCCCATCCAAGGCCTGAAATAAGACAGTCATGAGTATTTGTTCATTTGGCTGTTTTTGTAAGTGTGTAACTACTTATACACACATCTGTATCTTCTCACTTGACGAAAAAGATATCTGTAACAAATTTACACTCAACGTTTTGATCAGTTGGAGAGTTGACCTTGATGGTTTTGACAAGGTTGGCTGTGGTGTTGGCCACCTCTTTGGCTGACTGGACAAACTGTCTCCTAGCCACTGGGTTGGAAGTTTTAGAAGAGGCCAGGCGACAGGCGTTACAGAGAGCCGAGGTGTGCTTGGCTACAATTGTTGCTGCAGACAAGACCTTATGAACAAATGAACCAAAACCATTAACAAAGAGGAACAGCTGTATAAAATAAAATTAGGTAAGGCATGGGGGCATTGATTCTTTAAACACAGAGGTCAGGTTTATTCTTAAAAACTGTATTTAATTAAAGAGATATGACAGAATTAACAGCAAGTTATTAAAGACTACTCAGTCTCCATATGCCAGGGGACTAATGTTCTGCAGCCTTTAATGGATCTTACCTGTGAGGGACTGCTGGCAGGATCCACTAAGTTCTGACAAGCCATCTGTATAGCTTGGTGGGCTCGTGCAAACTGAATGGGATCCACCAGCCCCTCGTGGCCTGACTGACTACTGGGATCAGAAACACCTACAAGATAAGAGGCCTGTGGAGTAGAAAACAAAAGCGTGTTATGTGCTCCCAGTTACACTGGATACCCCCCAAACACAAAGGGACACAAAGGGGAATACAGAGCAGGCCGTGGCCAAGGCTGCTACACCCACTCCATAGGAATGGGGTCCACATCTTATGAGTCTGTGGTTGGGACACCAAGAGCTGAGAAATGTTGAACAACCATGGTCCATGAAAACCATCAAGAGAACCTGCACAAACACTGAAATTCTCTACGCCAACAACAATGCGAGTGCCTATATCTATGACTGAGTGGACAAGAGCTTCACACCAAAACCCAAAACAACCCAAAACCCACACAAAACAACAAAGACAATGACTCTGTGTGGCCACCAACAGAGCACAACAGAAACAACTGGATGTCCCACAATCATCTGACATTTTCTGTGGAACACACAAGAAGATGACCCCACTCCTCTGCATTTCAAGTAGTGATCCAATGTTAGATGTGTGATTCTGTATGGGGTAAAACCTTAAATAACCAGGCTGAAGCTCAGTTAATAAAGAGGGAGCAAAAACTAAGAAAGCCAAATCTTAAATGATCCCGGCCAAGTGCTCCCAGTTGTACTACTTAACCCCACCTACTAGGAACCTGCAAGACAACACAGAGGGACAACCAGGGGAAAACCCAGCAGTGCAAGGCCAAGGCAGAGATCCGTTACATCATTCATAGCTGTTGATTCACAAGGCTAATACCTCCACTGTTCTTAGACTGGTGCAAATCGATCCAATAGGACATCACACAAAGTTGGTACTAGTCAGCTGGCAGGGTGAAGATTGTTTAATGTCTGTTCTGAGTATGTCAGATATTTGCACCTCTGTTGGGTATCGACTAGAAGGGTTCAGGGCAGCAGTTCATGCGTGAAAGTGATTTCCACCTTGTGAAGATGTCTCAATTTCCTTTTACGCCGTATGTCTTGGGCTATGTCAACCTTAAAAATTGATAGCAATTTGCTTTTTTAAACAAAGTGTGTGTTTAATTCTAGGTATCTAAAAATAAAGAGAAAAAGGGAAGGCGAGCGCAGAAGCAGGGTAAGTCAGAGCGAGTTAGTATGGCGCTGTGATCTCACCTGTCCTGCAGCCTCTGTCAGCCCACACAGAGCTTTGGACGCCAAGCCCACGCTCTCCCCGAAGGCCACCACATCACCTGTCTTACAGTGCTGAGAAATGCCTGCCATTGACTCCCCTAGGACCTGAGGCACATGAAAATGGAGAAAATGTGGACAAATTAGGTCTTCAGCTGCCTACCATGTAAAATATTTGACAGTTAGTATACATAGTGCACTAGGTTATTTTATACGCCTGTACTTTTGAATTCTCCATGACGCTCTCGATGCAATCAAAGTAGGAGAGCTCGTTGACGGGCTCACTGGGGTTATCCAGCAGACCTCTGACAGCCTGAATACAGACGGAGACACAACAACTTAAACTACAATATTGCATTTCTACGTTGATATCCTTGGAAGTTTATCAGCTACTTAATTCAGACCTGAGGCTAACATTATAATTATAAATTGATCTGTGCAGAGATAAATCATCATAATCAAGGCCTTAAATGAACAATATTAATATCATTTAAAACTATTCATAGTATAATCATCGGTAGGCTTCAGAATGTAAAAATGCTCCTGTTATATTAGTGTTGCTAATGCAGCTACTGCACTATTGTTCTGAATGTATTATCCAGCTATAAAACATGGCTATATAGGAGGAATCTAATGGAAAATAGTGGGAAACCATGAGAAAAAAAAATACAAAACTCATAAACTTTATTTAAAAAACATGAAATACAGGCATGCATAGAAACCAGAAAACCTCTGTGTGGTATCCTGTATGTGAGGAAAGCTACCTCCAACTCCCTCAAGGCGTTGTCACACTCCTTTTGTCCTGCTGCTTGCTGTGTACAGAGCGTTATCAGCTGGTTAATACTCTCTGTCACCGCCCTGAAACACACAGGCAGCCACACAGCCTCTTTAGCTCTCACATGTGTCCTCTGCATGCACGCACAGGCTGGCTTCACTCACACATGCTTTTAGCCCCCCTACTCAAGCACGGCACTGCCGGCTTCTCGCTGCGATTGGATAACACAGCTCACAGGAGTGCCGAGATTGTCTCGAGTTTGTGTTCAGCCTTGCTGAGCACAGACAGGCTCAAGCCAAGGCTTCCATCTTCCTAATTAGACAGAGAGAAGTCAGTCAGGCCTAAAGCCCTGCGGGACCAGCTGCTTGGCTTCTCTCCACTAAGGGGAGGATACGTACTCCCCCTAGCAATGCCGAACAGACACGCTGTAGGAGCGGCATACAGATGTAGTAAGAAGCTGTTTTCTATAGCTATCATTACTTGCTACAGATCTTGAGCCAGGATTCACATGATATATACTACTGAGCTGTTCACCTCACTGGCAAATACAACATAGCATTCAGAAAATTTGACACATTTCAGGTACTGCTTGAGTTTTATCGCACCTTGCTGCCACAGCTAGGAGATTCTTAGCATTGGCTGCACCTGGATCCACAGACAGAGACTTGGCAGCCAGTAGCAGCTTACTGGATGCCATGGAGATGTTCTTCAGATTACCGATGACTTGGATCTGGTCATCCTTACTCTGTACATGCAAGGAAGAAGAAAAATTCAGGTGAATTTTGTTTTTGATGGTTTCAAATCTGTATTAAATGTTGTGTTACAATTATTAAACCGTATTGGTTAGACTGTTCTACTTTACAGTAATGGCTATCCTCTTTTGTCACATAACAGGTATTTTTGAGTCTTTGATTGTCAAATTTATGTAATGTTTGTTTTTTAGTCAAATTAATATTGTGTGTATAAGTGATAATTATCGATTAATAATTTGTATGCAATATTATTGTGTTCCAAGTTTATTATATCAAAAAGCCTAACTCTAATTTTTGTTGTCACGGCTAAAAACTGCTGTTCTGATTAAAGAAGTAATGCACTTTGTGGGTTTGACTTTAGTCTCATAAATTCCCCACAAAATTGAATTTTCTCCTGAAACTCAGAGTACCCAAGACCGTTAGGCTATTTCATGTGGGAAAGATTTCCGACAACGGTGCGCGCGCCTCCTTTCACAGAGCAGCACAAACCGGCTCTAACCAGAATAAAAGAGAAGCAGGTGCCTCCGGTGTAGAAAAGAACAAGGGGACAAGTTAATCAGAGTCTCTAGACTTTGAAACCGACACCTCATGGGTCCTCAACTGGCAGCTTCATTAAACGGTATCCACAAAAATCTATTTCAGCGCCAAAAGTGAAGAGGTGATTCCAAGATGCTGGCCTTGAAGGCATGGTTACAAAGAAAAAGCTTATATCTGAGACTATACACTAAAATGAGCCATTTGTGGCAGAAAAACACAAACGTTATCAGGGGAATCTGAAAAAAAGAAAAAGTTGTGGACAAACAAAATAAACACCTGAGGTGTTTAATTCCATGCAGACATGTTGAAGAAATGCGATAGCTGTTGTAAAGTAAGAGATTAGTACAGGTTAAAAACAGTCTTGAACAAGAAAGGTAGTCCCTTTACTTTTCATATGCCGTGGACACCACTTCATTGGAGCTAATTTGCTCCTATAAAAGGTAAAGAACGAACTCAACATGTGACCCCAAATTATGCAACATACCTAGTTCGCCTTTATTCTGTTTACCATGGAATGACCAGCACAGTCTGGGTGGTGAGCGATCAGTTTGATAGTATTCTACTTAGACAGGAGTCAAGACCTACAAACCAGTCCAAGCTGTGGGAGTATCTTCAGGACACATGAGATAAAATTTCCCATGTGTACTAGTGTACATCCTCTTCAGTGTCTGATATTTAGAATTTTGAATGAATGAGCAAAATATTCAGAACAAGAACATCACACAAAGCATCTGAATACGTTAGAGCTCTTTGGAGGAATTAGCGTGACTAACTGAATGCAATAGCTTTTGGTTAGTAAAGTAATGCAAAGATGCACTCTGCATTTGAAGCTTTTGAGTTTACCTGATAAAAACTTTAAATGAACTGCTGGCACTGGATCACTATTAAACTGTGTCACTGGAGCGTGAAGTCTTTGTATGGTCATGAAACCTACCTGGGTGTGTCCTGCCATCTCAATGCCAGCATCCAGGAACTCATCAAAGTCTTGGCTAAACTTCCCTGAGGCTGCAGCCAGCTGGCTGCTTCTTCCACGAGAGGAGTGGACGACCTCGCCTGCGGAGTGGTTGAGTTCAGCTGCTGTGTGGTTCAGATCAGACTGAGCCTCTTGGAATGTCTTACTGCAGGGAGGGAGCTTCAAAGACAAGACATACACATTAGGCCACACTTTGGAATATTAAAACTGCAGGCAAAAGGAAATATTCTGTTTGGGGATAAAGGGTCGATATATAAATACTCTCATGTCATTATGCAAACATAAAAGGCAAGAAATCCCTAAGAAAAAGCTTAAGCAACACTCACGAAGTCCACTAGTAGCTTCTTGCTGGCCTCGCCTATGCTCCTGAGGGCCATGTCAACATCCTTCTGGCCTGGCAGGCAATTCACACAATTATTAAGGGAGTGCGAAACAGCTTTGGCCACCTGCAACACAGTACAACATCTGTCAATGGTCCGTCATTAGTCATTCTAAAAATGTGCTACACAACAAAGCCCCAGAGCAAAGCTATATGTGGAGAAATATCTCAAATGCAAATTGGGCTCACAGCAGTGCACAATAATCCGTGTCACTAATTTATGCTGCTGTCACAGATATATGCCAAACAATATGTTTATCCCCTGAAGGGCTGCAGGAGAATGAACAATTTTACTCCAGCAAAACCTCTCCTGAGAGAGGGAAACCAGCCGAGAAATGCATAGCAGACAGGAAAAAAAGAGCAACACTTAGTAGAGGGGACGACTCTAATGGGAAAATCTTTACAAATCAGTAGATGAGGGAGACAGGGGCCATCAGTGCTCCTCAATCAATCAGTCGATCAGATCTATCAGATCTATCTATCGATCTGCTAATAAGTGGTATGCTACCTGTGCCAGTCTCTGCTGACTCTCAGCATCACCAGGATGAACCAGGGCCTGATGTGCTTCATGGATGAGCATGGCTGAGCCCTCCATCACACACTGGGCTGAGTCCAGCATGGCAGCTGCAGCCTGAGGCTCCTTGGTGCTGGCTGCCACACCTCGAGCGGCTTGAGCTAATGTCCTCAGAGCCTGTGCTGTTTCCCTAGCAGCAACACCTGTGAAAAATGAGTGACGATTTAGCAAATACATTAATTCCAGTGTCGCATTTCAGCAGCCCTGTTTAAGCAGTACTAACTGAGAGCTATGTGTATTTCTTGTCTTTACTAAAACTGCAATGACATTGTGCAAGTCAACAAGCAGGATTTCGCAGCACCACACTGTGAAAAAAAGAAAAAAAATCATTATACTCAAATAACTTCATTGTTTAAATAAATCACTTAATATGATAAATAAAGCCTCACACTGGAGGTCCCCTCAGCTTATTACACATAGAACTGGGGGAAAAAAAGAAAAAGCTGCAAATTGCATCAAATTGCATTAACCAGCAGAGTGGAGCCATTTGCTGATGGAATGTTAAATCCAGTGAAAAAAAAAGATTAATGAGTAGAGAGCAGCACCCTGGGCCACAGCATGAAGTACTGCCTCGGAGCACTCATTGTTATAAATGTTATTCTTTATCCGTCTTCATCTCAATTCCACTGAGATCCCCGTTTGAGCCAAAACTGACGGCAAAGCAGTGAAGCCATGTTGGATTCTCGGGGTTCGGTTCAAGGCGGTAATGACAGCACAGATAAAATAACATCTTTAGCTTGGTTTATCCTCAAGACTGACACTCGGCACAATTTTGAGAATTCCTTTTAAATAAAAGTCACAGGCAGTATTCCATATGTATCTAAATGGCTGCTCAAACTTCTCAGCCCCACTCGTGTATAAAATACACTACCTGTGTAATGTTCATTGCCTTGCGCAGCGCATGTCAGCAACTGGGCCATGGAAGAACCCACAGTCTTAGACGTACTTCCCAAATCCTGAGCGCATTTTTCCAGCTGTATAAGCGACAGAACACATAAATAACTCATTTGACTCATGGCTAAGATTTCTTTAGCATTTTGGTATCTCTACACAGCAGCTATCTCTAGCCTAATGAGATAAGCTAGATGAGAAACTGTAATTGTTTCTATTTACTGACCGTTTCTCCAGGAAGTGGTTTGAGTTGGCCATCAATGACAGACATCTTGGCATCCTGAAGTTCACTCTTGAGTGTCTGTACAGTTTTGAGGGCTAAGTCAATCTCCAGAGGGCCACAAGCTTCATGTGCCTTAAAAAAAATAAAAATAAAAAAGTAAAAAAAAACCCCCACAGACATAGCTGTTACTTAAACACAAGCCATACGCAGCAGACAAGATGCAATCCTGCATGTAAATGTGTGATGTGAGATCACAGAATTAGACTCTAATTGGACAGTGAATCTTTTCACTGATGGCCTGCATCAGTGAAAAGAATCATGCTCACGGATACCTTCTGCGTGGCAGTCCGGAGCTCCGCCAGGCAGGTAGCTAAATTCTTGGCACACTGGCCCAGTTGCATAGCAGCAGCTTGTTCGGCCACTGTTGGAACTGCTGACTTTGCAGACGCCACCATCTTACTCCCAGGCTGAGAGACAGTAATAGAAACACACCAAGAAATGAGATTCCTTTGATAGAGGGTTACGGTCACTCACTGTGTCAAGGTGAAATACAAACCTGTAAGAAGCTCTGGCTGGCCATGATGAGGGCGAGTTGGGGGCCCAGCTCCTCAGGCTGGGCTTGGCTGCTCCTCATTCCCTGCACCAACTGGGGAATACTATCTGCTACCATCTGAAATTAAACACCACATAATGTTTGCTTCATATGCCACACCATCATGACTTACTGAGAAAGGTGCTAACAAGGCTCCCAAACAAGACACTCCCTGTGACAACATGTATTATATGTAAATACAGGCTATAACATTAGTACAAAAGAGCACATCACAAAGATTACAGGATCATACCTTGCAGCTGTGAACTAGCTGTTGGTGTGAGGCTGTATTTTTGTTGGAAGCAGCTGCGTTTTGGGCAGCTGCGATGGTCTGTGTAGCAGCAGCCGCTGCCTGCTTAGCAGCGATCTGTTCAGAAGACACAAATGGAGAAAATGTAAGTAAGAGAGTGCTGCTTGGCTAAGAGGAATGTTCACTTTTGCTCTGCGCAGTATTATGCTGTCATGTTCTGTACTCCAACAGAGTTCTAATCAGACTAAAAGGGGTCACAACCAAAAGGTTTTGGAAGAAGAGGGAAATGGATGGAACTATGCTGCTCGGTCATGATTTCATGAAGTGATCAGTACTGCCTTCGCTTGGGCACATTTCCAGAACTAAAGCTAAAAATAGCCTGGCTTACATTAATTCATAGACACAAGACAGGGTTTGAAGCAATGACGGGACTGAAAACAAAGCTGTTAAATGGGTGAGGAGATACTGATGGAAAGATATACGTAACACATGGTATCGTTATATAGAGAAAATTCACATAACCCTAAAGACAGACAGACAGACAGATCGATCAAGTGCCCTTGTTATTCTTTTGCAATTTTAAAGAATGTGATCAGTATACAAAAGAAAATTTAATGGCTTCTTCCTTTGAACTTAACCCACTCAATCAAGTTTCATGAAATTCGGCTTGGTAGCTTTTGCATAATCTTGCAGAGAAACAGACAAACAAACCCCACCTATTACACTGCCACTTCAGCTTGTGGCTTGTCAGTGGAATACATAAAGTGATATGCTCATCATGCTGTCTGTATAAAACTGGATAAATTAAGGGGTCTTAAGGGTCATAGTGTCATCTGTTATATTTGTCACATGCACTTGGATATGCTCAACATTCTGGTCTTCCCCAGCTTACATGCTGTCTCGATAGAGGATGCTATTACCATCATTAGTGTGAACATCTGATGCAAGAAGGATGACTGAGATGCTGCATGTCTGATAGCAGGCTTATTCTAGCCCTCAGTAATGCATAGTTTATGTGCCTAGAAAACTGAACACTACACTGTGTGTTCTTGTGCAGAGAGCGGGAAGTCATTAGAGGCAAACTGATACCAAGGGCTAAATACAGATCTTTACACTTAGGTGGCTCATTCACAGCACTAATGGGGCTTATAGCATAGTGCTATAGGAAAGAGAAATAATACAAATATAACAAATTGCCCAGCAGTTGTTTCTACATGGTTATTTTCATCCTTTGTTTCAGTGTTTTCTTTCTCCTTTTATTTTTACACCATCTTTCTTTTGCAGGTATTATACAATAACAGAAAGAGATGTTTGGGTCACACCTTTGTCAGTAAGGTGAAACAAGAAGAAGATTTATGTTTTGATCAAGGTCAGACAACAGAAAAAATGATGACACATTGAGTCCTTTAACTCACCTCCAGCCTGTTGACTATTTTTTTCTTTATTGCGTTCTGAGCCGCCGCGTTAGTGGCGACACGTAGCCCTTCAGCTGCCTCTCTGAGTCTCTGTTGCTGGTCTTCATTGTCCGGGTAGGCGGCTGCCCCCTGGGGGACGCATTAACACACATTCATGTGCAGATGTGCACACGCGGACACACACTCCCTCACACATACTGTACTGCACATACAGAATCTAACAACAGCAATCAGATCTCAGCAATAAAAGTTTAAACAACTCTGGTTATGCAAGTTGTGCAATAGATGGAAAGAGTCATTTAGATCTGTCTGCTTTTTGACAGTTTCCAAGGAAACCGTCAGTGCCAGATCCTCACTTCCTCTTTGATAATGGCAGTGACGTGGTGATTAATGTGTCACAGATCAAAAACATCTAACGAGCCATAAGCAGCGTTTCACATGCCTGCGTATTTCACACTGATAATATCCTGCTCAGCAGTGCCAGGGGCTCATTAAGAGCCACTGATGCAGCAGCCTTTTTATTTTGGATGTGAAATGATGCTAGTAGATAGCGCATACAGTAATGCCAACACTTGTTTTCTATCAAAGGGAAGATATTCAGTTCAATTCCTTTAAAACTGTTCTAGATGTAACAACAACAAAATAAAATGCACTGCATCAAGAGCTAGGTTAAATTTTGTAGAATATAATAAGGTACAATAAAGTAATGTAATAATGACTGAAAGCAGTTAGCTTGTCTGGCATTATGTTAACCACACTGCATTGTGAGGTTAAGCCTGATGCTTTCCTACCTTAGCAGCCTCCACCATCCGAGCTGTGGCATCAGCCAAGAGCTTGGCTGCAGCAAGCAATTTTTTGGAGTTGTCAACATCAACTTCTGCCTCTGCATCTGATCTCATGGCATTGACCAAGTCAGAGGTAGCTTGGGCTAAAACTCTGGCCTGACGGACCATCTCACCTGTTCACACGCAAACACCAAGTTAGTGCCCCGTATAAACATCAAAATGATCTATTACAACTGTTACAACTGAAATTCAGCTGATTTGGGCTTTTGTTCATTTACATTTTTCTTTTGTCTTTTCAGTGATGACATCTATGCTAATGAAGACAGAATTATTAGCACCTCCACAAAAATGTCATTTTTATTAGAAAGCCAGTGATTTTTAACACTCTTTTTCCAAACAGCCTAGTTTTAGTTTTGATACTTATATTACTTTAAAACAAAATGACAAAAAAAAACAAAAACAAAAAAAAAACTAAAGCTGGCAGGGTCAAGGGTCAGGGTCATTAGCCTGCTAAAGCTAATAGTCAATTGTGTATCATTTTGCTGGACAATAACCTGCAGTCCTTTGTTGTAGTTTTCAACAAGCCTCACACACATCTCCTAATCAACCCCAGCCCATTGTTCTTTGGCGAATGTCTGAGTCTCTGATGGTCTTCTGGCATGGACCGTGGTCTTCAATTCAACCCACAGATTTTTAATCAGATTCAAGTCAGGGCTTTGAGCAAACCAGTCAAAACCTTCTTTCAGAATCTTTGTATATCTTTCTTTCTTCGTGATTCCTTCCACCTTGACAAGATTCTCAGTTACAGATGCACTGACGCATCCCCACAGCATAATACTCCCACCACCGTGTTTCAACAGTGAAGATGATATTTTTTTTTATTGTACACCACTCCCTTCTTTCTCCACACATCTCTGTGTTCAAAGAGCTCTAATTGAATCTTATCTGACCAAAAGAGATGCTTCCAGTATACATAATCATTCTCCAGATTGTCCTTAGGATTCTTCAGTCAGGCTTGAAGGTATCTCATGTGCAGAAATTGAGTTGTTCTTGGTGTGAAACACGTCTCTCACTAGTTTGCTTTTCAGAGTCCTTGAAATCTTCCACATCCTTCCTCTGATCTGTACTTTGTGGCTTTGTTTGAATTTTTGACAATTTCTTGATGACTCTTTAACACAAACACCATAAAATAACTTGATTGTACAAGCTTCGAGCATTACAGAGTTAAAGCAAATCTTTGCACAGCAGTTGTTTGTGCTATGGCTCAATAAAAAGATCAGTTTTTCAGTGGGTTATTAATATTTCACCCTGGTCATTTTTATTTATTCTGATATGATCCACCAGTTATTGTGTGCAAACAGAATTAATTTATGCTTTCTAAATTAAAACTTGCTTGCTGTGTTAAAAAGCCACTCTGGAAATTTTGACAAAAACTTTAAATTTCGGAGACTAATAACGTAATTCTCAACTGTACATCTGTATCAGCCTTGACAGCCAGCATATTTTTTTAAAAGGTTTTGGAAATATTGCCTCCTATGAAAACGTAGACAAAATGCTTGTGAGGCCACTAAAAGGATTTCTAACACTTTGACTATAAGAGCGCCTCATTAATACATACAGATCTTCATTAAAGGCATAATTGATGTGATTGGACGATGACTGTTACTGGTAAGTTCGGCTCTCATTACCATCTTACATATGAGACTGTAGAGGTAAAACAATTTTTATGTAAATTTGAAAAATCATACTACTTAAACTTACACGACCAGAGCTATTACAGCTGTAAGTATTTCAGTGTTCGACAAATTAGCACAGTATATTAATTCATCCTAACAGGCAAACCTAGTGCATCAGTAAGAAATTTCTGTAGTCGTGCAGGTTCACACCATCTTCATCTTCATCTACTCTCATAGCTAGGTTTCTAGTGAGTCATCCCTGTTCCCACAAATAAAACAATCTTTTGATATATGTTGCATCTCCACACACACCTGCTACAAAGAGCTGTGTTTCCCCACTCACCCACCTCCGGCTCAAAAATAGCTCACCCAGAGAAGACTATGAAATACATTTATATGCATTACAGCCTACATGCTAATTTCTTGGGATTCAACCAACACGCTCTGTTGACAATCAACTCAACAAAGAGATTAAATGAGAAAAGCGTAGCAGTGCCTCAGCATTTAAACATTTGTTCTCTCAAAAAAATCCCCAGGTCATGTGTTTCCTGTTAAATTTCAAAGTCTTCCTGATGCTGATTGGGACCAGATTGAGTACTCTGTAGTGGTTTTGGATGACATGTTTCCCATAACCCCTTGAGAATCGACTGTGTTTGAAAATTCTTTGGCCTCATGGTTCAAGCCATTACGAACAGTGTCAGCTTTCAAAACACGTCGAGGACTTTTAAGATCACTTAACATACACATAAACACAAATATACCTTCAGCACCTCTGTGATAAAGTCAAAACACATTAAAACAATTCAAATAAACACAGGTATTCACTCACCAGCATCACCCATGGAAGTGAAAATGTTTTCGGTCACGTTCATAATCGTATCCGTGGCCTGGTCATAACGTCCAATAGGCTCGCCGCAGCTGGCATAGTGGCGGACGTGCTGCAGGAGGTCGCTGAGAGCCTGGCTCACCACACCAGCTGCTGCCCCAACTTGCTTCAGCAGCTCACCGTCGTCGCTGGCCGAGCGGCAAGCTTTGACGCAGGTTTCCACGGAACGGTCCACCAACTTCCCGGCCTCGACAAGCTGCTCCTGACACACTGGGGAGCTGATGGTTGGGCTCACCACCTGCACCACACACAGATGTTGGCAAAAATAGTCAAAGGAAACAAAATAGAGACATTTTGAAGACACAAACTGCATCTACAATTAATCTTACCTCATCTAACCAAATGCAACAAGTGAGGCTTTAAAATAAAACATATTGCTACATATATACAGAATACATTTCTTTACTTGCTATTTAAAGAATTCAACAAATACAACGATGACCTGCTTCAATTGGATAAAACATTAGTATTACATATTTTTTAAATATGTCATATAAGTCCCATATATATATTTTTTGGATCATTTTCTGGTTAATAGTTTGTCCTTTACCTACTGGGCTGCTGAGACGAACAAGTTTTACATCAGTACCTTAGTGCAGGCGACCAGCTGTGAGGTGGACAGGGCACACTGAGTGGCAGCTGCAATCACCCGGTTCTGCAATATGGTGTCTTCGGCCACCTGGGCCACGTTCTTGGCCTTCAGGACTAACATAGCAGCTGCATTGGCCACTGCTTTTGCCAGATTCATCAGGGTGTCCTGCAACATATTAATCAATGTCCTTCACTGAAACACAGCGCAGCTGCAAACATGTGACTGATGGGATCAGGAAAGTAAATGTTTTCATATTTTTTCAATCGATATAGAGTGATTACTGCACAGCTAATGCATGTGGAACAAGTGTAGCACATAACAGAAAGAGATAAATGGTTAAGAATTTTAGGCAGCACATCTGTGCTACTATGTATAGCAAATGGAATACAAACTATGTTAATGTAACAGAAGAACACTGTCTCAAGGTCAATGAGAACAAGACCGTGGATGATTTATGAGCCCTCTTCTCCAGGCATTAACACTAAAGAGAGTGGTATAAAAGCTGCGAGAGGACATCTAAACTAAGGTGTATATGGCATGTAAATGAATTTCAGAGTAAGAGAATAAATTAGGTAGCTAGAGAAGGCTACTGAAACGGTGCTGTTAGTGGAGGTCTGGAACAATGCATTGCCACTTTACTACTAAAAGCTCTCCTTCTGACACTTTATTATTAGACCCTCACTTTATGTGGATTTGAAACAAAGTCTGAGGTGATTACATAAGTTTGTATTGACATTTTTAAAGAGAGTTCAGAAAATGTGTGTGCCTTCCTGTTTGGCCAGCAGTGTCATAGAAACAGTGAGGGGGTGGCGTCCAACCTGGAACTTCTCATCAGTCTCGCCCTCCCCCATGTGACGGAGCAGGTCCCCGCTGGCTTGTCCAATGCTTCCTGCTGCCGTCAGCACCGTCTGCCTGGGCTGTATGGGAATGACATCATCACATTCATTACACAGGCTTGGCTTGCTCTCACAGAGGCTCCCATGAATTATCCAAACAGAATTTAGGATCAAAAAAATCATCCCCGTAAAACCTTCTGTAATACATCTTTGCTGGGACACAGATTAAAAAGAAAATGCAGTTCAAAACTGTGTGTGCCTTTCTGACTACTGCGATTACAGATAAGGATGAGGTCCAAATCACTACAATAATCAGCAGGTGCCTCACCTCTGCGGCTGCGGGCTCAACAGATCTGAGCAGATCTGACACAGCTCCTGCCAGCATCCTGGCAGCACCCATGAGCTTGTGTCCACTGCCCACCTCATCGTCCATTAATGCCGCAAGCAACTTAACACCCTTAGACATTTCCGTCAGGTTGGAGGAGATGGTGGTGATGGCGCAGCCCACTGCTGTGTAGTCAGTTTCTGTCGGCTCACCTGCAGAGGATGGATAGCCATCATTACATGCTAATCGGGTTACATCTCTGCTGTGCATCTTAATATGTTATGCTGTTGCCACCTTAATTTTGCTAAGCCACGGAGAAGCTTGTGTTTCACATGCTGCAACAAGCACATCAGTGCCAGTGCTGTAGCTTGAACCCATTTGAAATGGAAGATGAGCCCACTGACAAAAACGCTTTGTATTAGACAGAGAAGCTAGCATACGTGCAACCAAACAGATGGCAAGGTAAGATTAAAACCAAGCAAAAGGCTGGCTGGAACCTGACTGGCATTGCGCCAAAAATCATGAGGCGCTGAAAGAGACACTGGCAGTAAACTCAGCTTCAGGACAACAAGTTCAAGATTTATGAATCATAGAAATATTTATGAGGCAAAATTGAGACATACATTTTAGTTTTAATACCATCTCAGTAACGCCGACTTGGAAAACATATTGATTTACACCATTTGCACTATGCCCAGTGCAGACTTCAGAAACCAAAGCTCATATATAGAAATTAATAAAACCAGAAAATAATAACATATGCTATCCCTTGTTTTTTCTTTTTTTTTTTGTTATTTAGCATTCTCCCAGGCACTCACCTGCAGTGAGATTGACCACAGATGCTGTTCCAGCAGTGATGGCATCAACCTGAGAGTGGATTTCATGTTTGGATTCATCCACTTTGTTCTGAACCCAAACCCTGGATGCCTTTTGGTGGAGGAAAATGAGAGCTATTGGCATTCATCGCAGTGTGTGATTTTCAGCTCATATCAGCTTTCTTTCACAGGATTAAAGGACTAGGCTAGTACAACACCTATGGCTTTGGAAACACTCAAGCATTAAATACAGCCTCCACATTTACAGTCAGTCCTACATCCTAATTATATTTGAGATATTTGATGGACTTTGATGTGATTAGAATGCTTGATTCTTTTTAAGCCATCTTTGCTTTGCAAATCCAGAGGCTGTAATATCAGAAAGCACACAATCTCGAGTGTTAGAAAAGCACAACTCAAGGGATTGCTAGGATTGTGGGAATGTGGTAGAGTGCACCATCTATGCATGGTGCAACTGTTCTGAAATATTTTCCACAACTGAAGTAACTGGTTGTAATATGGCTCACCAAGTCATGGCCCAGTGGAGGCAGATTATCGACATGTCCCAGGTCAGCCTGGGCCTGCTGCACAGCCTGCATACTGCTGTTGATGGTCCCCATCAGGGCCTGCTGGGCTAGACTCTGACAGCAACAAACAACACAGACACAGTGTTTGCAAATGGCCTAACAAAAGGAGTCTGATTGCAAGATTGTGAAACTTTCTTGATCAGATTTCTTTAGGTCGCACATTTTTTCCTAAATGGCCCACAGGTTGGAAGCTACAGTTTCAGTTACTATCTGAATCAAAGCAAAAAAGAAAAGAAAAAACAGACCAGCATGTTTGTCAGCGCTTACTCACCAGTGGAGGCATGTGTCCTCTGTGCATTTGCCCTGTGGTGATTTGCTGCTGAGCAGAGGGCATAGTACCCATATTGAAAGTGTCAGGCCCGCCAATAGACCCAGACCGAATTATACCTGGAAGGGCTACCGAGCCGTGCTCCACACGGCCTACCCGATTGAACTGCTGCTGCAAAATTGTGGACCTTATTAAAAAATAAAAAGAAATAGAAAGCAGTAAGAAGAATTTTATAATTAATCACACCAAAACATTAACTTTATGTATTGTAAATAGACCGCATATTTGTAACATTTTTCACTCTAATTGACCACTCAATGTACTTCATACTAGAAGCCACATTCACCCATTCACCTACATTAGGAGCACTGAGGTTTGGATCAAAACACCGACCATATGATTAGTGGCCAACCCACACTGTTTCCCAAGCCACAGCTGTTCCCTATGCACATTATATGCTTGTACATGCTGTTGTGGTCAGAAGGTTACTTACACTCATCATGGGCATGAATGTCATAGTAACTTTGGCCTTCAAATGGTTTCTTTGAAGTGTTTTTTGTGAAGAGGAAGAATTGTAGATTTCTAAGTTGGGAAGGCCTTTTGGACCCGTTTCTAAACAACTGCATATTTAAAGATCATCATTTCAAACAAATTTCTGAAAGAAGAAGAAAGAAGAAACAGCCACTTCACAAGCGCATGGCACAACATAGAAGAGCCACCTCCACGGGACAAGACTCAGCAGTTCATCTACATCTAAAGGACAAAGGTCACTCTTTCGAGGATGCCAATGTTCACATTTTGGACAGAGAGGACAGATGGTTTGAAAGAGGAGTGAAAGAAGCCATTTACGTCCACTGTGAGCGACCATCTTTGAACAGAGGCGGTGGTTTACGACACCAACTGTCTGCCATCTATAATCCAGTTTTGAGATCCCTTCCCAGACGCCTTAACGCCCACTTTATTTTCTGATCTGGTGAAATGATTTAGGTTCTAGTTCTAACATTTAGTCTTCTTAGTTTCACCTCCGAAGACCCGAACTCTTTCATGGCATGCATTTTTAATTTCTCTTTGCTATTTGGGCTGATTGGGACCTGATGATTGTGGAAAAACAAAGAATTAGCTTTTTACTCCATTTTGTAAAGGGCCTGATATCCACATATGAGGACATTCGTTTATAAATTTCATTCGAACAGTGGCAGTATAATGTCCTTGTAAGTGGATATCAGAGCAAAATGTAGTATTGTGGTCCAGACAACCCAAAATGTGATGTCCGCATATTTGGACGCCAGGTCCTAGGAGGTTAATGATGTTCTTTCTGCTTATGAGTTTTGCTATTTATATTCCTGTTCGTTAGTACTGTAAGAGTGTTACACACTCATCGTCTCATCTCTGAATAGTCAGCCTTTGTCTCTGTATTTGTTTACCTTTGGTCTTTGTCCAGTTTCATGCCAAGATCATAGGGCGTATATGTTTATCTTCTCATCTGTCAGGCTTTTAATCTGATCTTCTATCACATAAATTTACGTGTACGTCTAGACAAAATTTAAAAACTAAATTACTTGCATATGTAGGCATTTTAGAGTAAACTTTTCCCTTGTATTACTCAGGAGGATCTTTTTAAATAAGTCTTCAAAATGATAATGTGACTGTTTCTAACTGAAATGACAAAAATGACAGAATTATAATTAAAACAATTATCACGCACCAACAACTGCTCCCACAGTACGCAGGCAACGTCAGAAGAAATACTGTACAAAAAAAAGTGTTTTCATGCCTAACTCAACAGATGCTCCTGACTCCACCAGTTAATTACGGCTTGTTTTGAGAGGCAGCAATTATGTTTTTGTACTGAGAACCACAACATGAGTCAATTGGTCCACAAGCAGCAGGAATATGATGCCCCATTCTGCCAGAGCGGTTTCACTGACAGCCATGTGGATTTCCAGTGATAACAAATTTCCAGATTCTGTGTGACAGAGCCCTAGTCCAGCTGCTTTACCTCGATTTCCATCAGTCACTGAGGTACACTGGAAAATCTGGACAGACAGAAACCAAATAGGAAAAAAAAATACCTGACTAAAACAGCTTCTAGCAAGCTGTTTCTTTTTTTCTTTTCTTTTTTTTTTACCGGTGTGATATCTTGACCTCCAAATGATGCAACGTTTTTTTCCAAAATAAAATTATATTCTAGTAGCTTTACCCTGAGGCAGCTTTTATAAAAATCACACAACTACCCATTTAACAAATTGTATTCTGTGGTATCGTGAAGAGCATTAATGTTATTGTCTCAGGTATAAAGTGCTGTTTTTTGTGTTTAATTCTAACATCATGTCTCTCGGGGAGTACACTGCTGGGCAGGCAGAAATGTAATTACATGCACAATTAAACAGTAAGCTTTAAATTCATGAATAACTAGACTGTGTGAAGAGAATCACAATGGTCAGCATTTTTATACACTAGATACTACTCACTTCTTAGGGGAAACTGATTCCTCCAGCATGGTGGATTCCTCATCCCCCTCAAGGCCAAAACGATCCTTACTCTGCTTCTGCAGAGCAAAGTTTAACAGACACCAGTGAATACCGTGGGCCGAATATGTGAAGAGGTGGATGTATCTCATATTGATTCAGATAGATATGTGTTTTTATTTTATTTTCAACTACTTGCCTTTTTAAGAATGATGTCAATATAACCAGCAATGAGTTGTGATATCTGCTCTCCCTCTGTAGTCTGGACAGAGTAGTAGCTTTCCTGGTACTCTCCAAAATCCTTTGTAATGCAAGGAAGAGTCCAAAGATTCAGGGCAAGACAAGTTAGTCATTTGAAATTATTTTATAGTAACATCTACCCAAGACTGCAGAAATACTCTATTCATGATAAAAACCCTTACTATCTGTGCATAGATTAAAAAAAACAAACAAAAAACCCTTACTGGGGCTGAATAAACATGGCAGTACCTTCCTCATTTCTGCTCTTAATGAAAAAAAAAAGTGACATGCTTCCACGGAGCATCCGATTTCTCCAAAGAGCTGATTAAAAATGAGATGTAGTGAATCTGAAAACTGCTCACTTCAAAGCGTTCCACAGAAACACGTGGGCGAGTATTCTTAGTTTAAATCAATGTTGGCAAATATACCTCAGAGTACTTTGCATAATCTATTAATCTTTAAATGGAGTAGACCCTTTCCAGTACAGAAAGAAAACAGCCAACAGCTGGTAAAGAAAATTGAAAAAGGTTTCAGATAAATAAAACATTCAAATTCTGCACATTCTCCCCCCGGGTATCTATTGTTAAGTCAGAAGAAATAGCCGGCTAGCAATGCCAAAAACCATTCAATATTGCAGTCTGAGGTCTCTACAATTTTTAGGATTCTGTTTGTATTGGAAAGTGAAGAAAAATGGGGGAAAGAGCAAAGAGTTGTATATATCACACTCTGCATACAAATAATGCATAGGACTAGAAGTGTATATAACAGCACACTCTAAGTGGAGCTGAGGACACAGTACCAAGGTGAAACTCTTAGGGGAGGCTGCCCATCTCTTGACTGTTGTCAGTGGCCATTCCTGCACCACGTCCTTCGTCTTCTCATCCACCCGCATCACTGACTCTTTGGTTATCCCCAGCAGCCGCGGGACCAGCTTATTTTTACCCTTCATCTTTTCCTGTCAAGTAAGAAAACATCAGACGACATTTATGTCAGTGCTTAAACACCTACACAGATGATTCATTCAAGGCGCAAATGCAAGATCATTGTTCCGTTCTCCCGATGCTGCCGTAATACACATGGCTGTGTCTGTGGCTTGAAGCCCCACTTGGAGGAGGAGAAGGGCAGCTGCGAAGTGACCCAGCAGAGTTCAGTCTTGTTTAACTGCTGCTTTATTGAGCAGGGTCTCCACAGACTGTCAGCACAGCAGCATGCTATTCCACCAGCTCTCTGCCTGACCAGCTCCACTGCCCCACCACTATCTGCCCACTGAAAATCTATTACAGCTCACTTGAGACGCCAAGCCTACACTTGGCTCCCCTCCAAGGGGAATAGGAAGGACAAAACAAAAATTAGCACTGAGCAGAGACGGGGAGTGCAGACTGCTCATGTTTAATGTGTCCAATCCTTTTGTTGTTTTTATCACAGGGTCAAAATGAAAAGCCCTGAGAACCACACAAAGGCCAATAAGTAGAAGAGCTTTTCAAGCTCACTGCTCTTAAACACAAGGACAGATAACATTATCCCAGTGATCATGATATCTTTGTGCAAAGGTTTATTAAAAACTTCCATTGTTTTAGGGTACGCCACCTCAATGTTATAATTACCAAGGCCGCATTCAAGCGGGAAGTGTGGTATTCTAATCTCAAGTGGAAAGTATAATATCATTTCAAACTGCTTAACCTTGGTTATCGGTTAGGGAAAATATGCTTCTTACTTTTCCCCACGTGACACACACACACACACACATACTTACAGTAAAACAAAGCTTTTCGCCCTAAAACCTGCAGTGATTAGACACTCATAGGTGAGAAATGGTTACATTAAATGCTCCAACAAAGCCAGGCCTATGCTTTTGCCCTTGCAAGCGTCAAGAGCAGAGTGCAGCTGGAGTGAATTATTTAAGAGTCTTGAAACCTCCATCACTACATCTCCTCATTGAGCACAGACAGCGCTCGCACACATAGATGCACATGCACTCTTCCATGCACACAAAGATAATTTGAACCCTGCAGTGTACTTTAACTATGGGGCCAAACATTCCATTTATCGTCCATTAAGACCCCAGCAGACAACTGCACATTCACTCTTTTCCCTCTTTCCTGAAAGTCCGTAGCCAAATGGGCCGCTGTCAGAGAGCTTTAATAATACCTGCTGCAACTTTATCCCATTCACATGCTGCACTTCCATTCCACTTTTGTGTTTGCCAAAGCAGAACAGAGCAGAATTGCTATTGTCACAAGTATTTCACAGCGCTGAACTCCAAGCGCACACGCTTCCACTCCGATTCTGACTCTGATTTGTTGTGATAATGGGGCTTTTTGGTGTTTTCAGCAAGCTCTCATTCCTGTGTGACAACACTCTGCATATTGGGGCAGCTTTCTGGTCGTAGCTGCCACTCTTTAGAACAAAAGCATTGCATGCCTGTATCATTAAATTAACATTTGTTTTAGGTTTTAGTTTCATATCGCTGGACTGCATTTTTTACTAGCACATTTAGTAACAACGGGGAAAGAAACAAATTCACCAGTTTAGCCAGATTATTTAAAGCTTTACTTAAATAAGTTAAATCTAAAAGGTATAACAATCCCTCATCAACTGTAACTTATGAAAGACCCAATTACAATTAACCTTATTTTGTGAGAAGGTGAGGATATTTTTATTTTAATTGTATAAAAATGTATTTTTGGGGGGAAAAAAGCCTGCTAACTCTTACCTTCACGAGAAAGAAGGACACTCCATATGTCTGGAGGGACCTAGCAAGCTTCACATACTTTACTTTTCCTTCTATCTCAGACATCTCTCCACAGTTTTTATGTTCCTGGAAAACAACAGTTACATTTCCAACTTAAACCTATCAGTACATATGTAAATATGCTTGAAATGTCATGTACTGGCTGTTATGTAAGTATTTTACACCTCAACAGAGAACACACTACACTTTTTGCATGCTGCATTTGAGAAGTGCAATGTACATACTTGGAATATTTTCTTCTCGGCCCCTCTCTGCTTGATATACTCTTTAGGTAGGAACTCCTTCAGGCTACGGAGACAAATGACATTTTAACTGGTTTCAGCTACAGGCATTTCCTTTTTCTAACATACCTCTAATTATGAGGTCATTTTTGCCTTACTGCCTACATATCAGGAAACAGTTGTAACAGCTGACATCACCCCTGAGCTTTCCATGGGAGGAAATCCCTGAAGTAACAACCATTACTGATGGAAGGGAATAGCTACCATACAGCTGAAATAAGCCTGTGTATAAAAGTACAGCATGTGCTAAACAAGTATTCTGAATCTTCGTATCAAGGCATCTTCTTCATAATAAAAACTTACTCCAGGAATCCAGGCTTGTGCTTGTGCTCCACGTGGGGTCCGAACTGGATCTGAGCCTGGATCCCCGCAAACTCACATGCTTTATCAAAGGAGACAGGGTGGGATCCATTCAATATATCATCTCTAGCCTGGAGGAGACATGAAAAGAGGTATGGGTGGATAAGTGTAAGGCAGTAACACACATCCAGGAAATAGACCACGAAGACACGGGAATGCTCCACAATTCACCCAAACAGAGCTCTCCAATGAACAATTCATTGTGCGCTTTGCGTGCACTGTAGCATCAAGAATGAAGTCTTCTAAGTGACTAAGTGCATTTCTAGAGAATATACATCATATCTCAGACTAAGGCACACAGGGGAGCCAAATAAAATTTGTTTGTGACAATGAAAGCAATTCTGGCGGCTTTCAAATATAACAGTTTCGAGTATTTGTCATCACACTCAGTTATGTGTTATTAAAGAGGAAAAGATATCGCAAAAATGCACCAGTTTTTCACAGTACCCGTCTGCATCACAGAATGGTCCTCAGTATGGTGTTAAGCAATCTAATGAAGGATTTTTTTTAACCCTTATGTCTGTTTGGTGCTACTGAGATGTCATTTATGATTCAATACATTTTCAGGCTCTTTATAATATGTTTACCTTTTAGGGCGACACAGAAGCAGAAGCCTTTCTGTATAATGCTTGTACCTGTGTGCTCCAGGGGGCAGTCAGCTTTCCCCCCTGCTCTCTCTCTTTCGAGTTCACTGTAGCAAATTTAATCGCTGCAAAGCTGAGAGGCCTTGCTGGTGATAGAGGCTCCATCCATGCTCTTAGCATTAGCATATCAGTACACAGCGTGGACTTGATACATTCTTACGTCCCATTACATCAATGAAACACTAAGCAGCAGCTCACTGCTGTAATGAGAACAACAATCTCCTCTACTCACAATCAAGTCTTTTCCCAAGTGCAATTCACTGTGGAGTACATAAGCTCTTGCTGGACACAGAAGACACTCTAAAATTAGCCCTCACACATGCCATTCACTCCGCTACACACTGTTCACTGTACACCGAGTTTTCCTTCGACCAGTTGGTTCACAAGTATTTAGAAAAAATATTTAGGTGGCAATTGCACCAGACGATCATGGAGAGGTATTACAATGTGTAAAGCATAGTTCATCCATCCATCCATGTGTGTGTGTGTACTGGTATTTATTAAGTAAATAACAAATTCATGTTTTTATACCTAATTTTGAGTGGGTATGTACACTGGAGTTGTCTGATAAGTCAGAAATTAATCAAGCATAACATTAAACAACTAAAAGAAGTAATTAATTAGAAAATAATAAGATGCTTTACAGTTTTTTCTGCTATTTTGTAAAACGGTAAATTTGAAAATTCATTCATTACAACCATAATTATATTTTAGCATTAAAAATATACATTTCATTAGACGTTGCGCATACTGGTGGATTAACCGTTAAAGAAACATAAAAAATAATCTTGCTAATTATTTTTTGCTGTTAATTTAGAACAGCTGTGGCATGCACATGGTATTTCATTTACGTTTTTATTTAATTTTTTTTTTAAACAAAATCTGATTTAGAAAAACTTAATGGGGTTTCATATCAGTGGATACTAAACCCTTACTTAAATGAAAGTGAAGGCTGACTGCAAATCCAAAGTATGCTCTTCACTGTTCCTCAACGCAATGAGATAAGGGAGTCAATATTCAGCAGAGTAAATGTAACAGCTGTCACTCAGCCAGAAACCAAAGTGGGTTCATCCTCAATTGCTGTTTTGGCTCAGAAATGATGGCTCGACTCTCAAATAATCATCAATCAGAATATTACTGTTGGATAATATAACTTGTATAGTGAGGTAAATATCTGGTGTCACTGTATTCAATGTAAATACAGCATGCTGTTTAGCCTGTAGTCGTTTCATTGTGTACGTGCATTACTGGAAATTGACAGGCACACAGCTGCATGTGAGCTAGTGATGGCGAATTATGAATGAAGCTGATTTTTATGCATTTCATTACTAGTTTTATACTTTCTGTAAGAGCTGACCATTGATAAAGAATTAATTGACAGTGGCTGATTTCAGATTAATGGTCACATTAGGCACAGAACCAGTCGGATAAATATTATACCATATTTGTAAAAAGGCAACAGAGTGAAGACAGACCCCGAATTTCTCGAAGCAGATATGGTAAGTGATACAAGAACTGGTTTTAGTGAAGCACAAGACATCAGAAGCTGTGACACATACAGCCTGAGGCAACAACGCTGAGGTCAACTGTTCCACTCTGGCCAAGCAGAGCAGACAGCACACATAGCCCCAAAAATAAATGATGGCAAAGGTATATAGTCAAATAGCAGTGCTTGACTGAAATATTAAAACCAGTTAAAAATAATGGATTCCTTTTTCCTCTTCTCTTTCTATATGTATTGTGCGGTAAAGGTTGAATTTGACCCCTAAAATATCAGCATTATAACTGTGTTACATCCTGTAGAATATCAAGTCCTGAAGACAAATTCTTAACCTGACCCTGTGCTGAAATATGCCAACTTTTGACACATGTAATACATCTGATTAAGTGATCAAGGGTTAAATGTAAAAGCAAAACTCAGTGGGTGATACTATTGCTATGGAGATTTATGCTGGTTTTAGGATAAATACAAAGGGAGCGGTCAAGTGGTAAAGAAGATTACTCTTTTACTGGCAGAGCTTTCATTAATGTTTGTGTGAGAGTGCGTGTGCGCGCGCGTGTGTGTGTGTGGGCATAATAGGGTGTTTGAGTTTGAAATCATGTAAGCTTAAAATCATGAATACATATATGAGATCACCGCAAATATGCAGGAGGGTCCTGTCAAATAGTGACCAGCAATGATGTCATGAACTACATGAACAGTTACACAATAATAGTACAGAGTTTCTAAGAATTGCTGGAATTATGAATGACAGAGGGCGAAGAGGAACATTTGTAGGCTAAAAAAATTCAAAAAGGAACACTGAGAAAGAGCAAGAGCAGCCTGTGGTATGATCCACTCTTCTGGCTGTGTTCGGTCTTTTTAACACAATGACAAATTAGAGCTCCTGCCTTGTGCCGAGCCAAGTGCGTGCGCGCGTCTGTGTGTGTGTGTGTGTGTGTGTGTGAGAGAGAGAACGCGGGAAAGATAGATGGGGGAGGGCAAGGGCAGGGGCGGAGTTGTTATTGTGAAAGGAAATATGAGCCTGTGTTGAGAGGAGAGCATGATACACACAGTGCTGTAATGTGTGCCAGGGTAACAGGGTGGGGATGTATGCGACTGTCAGAATGTGTAAGCGATGGAAAGGGAGTGGAGACAGAGAAACTGCAAAATAAGGAAATGGAGGGTACAAAAAAATAGAGGCAACAACAGGAACAGACAGATAGAAGGGAGGAGAGCATCTGTAGAGGACAGAGAGGGTGGATGGCAGGATGTCAATTCTGAACATATTCAAGAACTTCCAAGGAAGGAGGAACTGAAAAGACGGGAGAGTCAAATATAAATAACTATATATGTATAGATACATTTCAGCTGCGATATACATCTCTGCTGCTTTCAGAGATTATGCATTTTTGTGAGGGGGAGCATCCAATGCATTAACACTACTCTCGAGCTCTCCCTCAATCTCAGAGGGTACATCTGTACAGTATGTGTGTTTGTCTGGGCACTCCACACCCTGCTGTTCATCTCCAGATGTCAGTGGGGGGATTTCCTCCCTACTGGCTAGTGATGTGTTTCTGGAGTACATGTCTGTATATAGAAAAACATGTTTATTTGTTATTTGTTTACATTCAAAAAGGTGATTTAAAGCTGCAATAATCAATATTTCATAGAAATAGTGGATTTTTAATAAAAGCCTTGTTTGTAGTGACAAACCCTGACAGGCTCTGTAGTTCCATTCAGCTTAATGGAGCATTTTAGCTTCTTTTAATTCCCTGTTTTGTTTTATACTGTGTGCGAATACTCTGCTTTTGATTTACGCTCGCTGCTCTCATCAGTGAAAGCATTTAGCATCAGCGTACATGCATGCTGATACCAGAGCCATTCCCCGAGCTGCTTCACGTCCTATTAATTCCATTGTACGGAAATTGGCGGCATTTTGTCCAGAGGCTTGCAGCGCAGTCCCTCAGTAAACAGGAGTGAAGGGAATTAAATAAATAATCATTTCTAGGGCTACAGTTTATTTCATATTTAGCAAATGTACACCTAATCTTTAGAATTAAAATAAACCAAACAATGCTAATCTCATTTTGTTTGTTTTGGTCTGACAGGAAAACCGAAATTTGCACATAAAACCTTATCATTCTTGTAACGGATGAACGGTTGCTTAAGGAATTAACACATGACTTCTGTCGACAACACATGATGTGTAATGTACTTGCATTTAGGCGAAAGTGCTAGCCACTGCACTCCAGTGGTATGCAAATGTTAGGTGTATAATTATGTAGCATGTACAACATGCTGTTGCTTGTCTAATGTGTGAAACCTAAATGGCTCATCCCATAAAGTGGTTTGTAGTGTCCCTGATAGAAAAAGAAAGGTATTTTATTAGTTTAAAATACTGTAAAAAAATCTCAAACTTGAGCTATACTGCCTTAATCACATCTCTCCAGTTTTTTTAATCCCATGAATGTTACATTTCATAGGGGGCACTACAGTGCTGCAGTGGTTAGCACTGTGTTCTCAAGAAGGTCTTGGGTTTGAACATACAGTGGCTGGCAAAAGTATTCGGCCCCCTTGAACTTTTCCACGTTTTGTCACATTACAGCCACAAACATGAATCAATTTTATTGGAATTCCACGTGAAAGACCAACACAAAGTGGTGTACACGTGAGAAGTGGAAAAAAAAAAAATCAGACATGATTCCAAACATTTTTTACAAATAAATAACTGCAAAGTGGGGTGTGCGTAATTATTCAGCCCCCTTTGGTCTGAGTGCAGTCAGTTGCCCATAGACATTGCCTGATGAGTGCTAATGACTAAATAGAGTGCACTTGTGTGTAATCTAATGTCAGTATAAATACAGCTGCCCTGTGACGGCCTCAGAGGTTGTCTAAGAGAATATTGGGAGCAACAACACCATGAAGTCCAAAGAACACACCAGACAGGTCAGGGATAAAGTTATTGAGAAATTTAAAGCAGGCTTAGGCTACAAAAAGATTTCCCAAGCCTTGAACATCCCACGGAGCACTGTTCAAGCGATCATTCAGAAATGGAGGGAGTATGGCACAACTGTAAACCTACCAAGACAAGGTCGTCTTGTTGCTACATGTGCAAAGCTGGTAGAGACATACCCTAAAAGACTGGCAGCTGTAATTGCAGCAAAAGGTGGTTCTACAAAGTATTGACTCAGGGGGCTGAATAATTACGCACACCCCACTTTTCAGTTTTTTATTTGTAAAAAATATTTGGAATCATGTATGATTTTCATTGTCTGTGAAGGTTCTCAGTCATCCAGGTCATCGTAGTCAAAGGAGCTTGCAAAGAAAAGTGTCTGGACTTCTTTAAGTTGCTTGAAGACGTTTCACCTCTCATCCGAGAAGCTTCTTCAGTTCTAAGGTCAAATGGTGGGGAGTCCCAGATTTAAACCTAGTGGGAGTGACCCCCCAAAGAGGGACAAAAGGACCCCTTGATGATCCTCTAATAGCCTGAGCCAAGGTGTGAAACTGGGTGTGGGTCCCAATCAGCCAGAGTTTCGGGTGAGCTCATTGTGAAACCTGGCCCCACCTTATCATGTGAATTCCTGAGGTCAGATGGCCCAGGATGTGAGTGGGCATTAAGGCGTCTGGGAAGGGAACTCAAAACTGGATTATAGATGGCAGACAGTTGGTGTCGTAAACCACCGCCTCTGTTCAAAGATGGTCGCTCACAGTGGACATAGATGGCTCTTTCACTCCTCTTTCAAAGCATCTGTCCTCTCTGTCCAAAATGTGAACATTGGCATCCTCGAAAGAGTGACCTTTATCCTTAAGATGCAGATGGACTGCTGAGTCTTGTCCTGTGGAGGTGGCTCTTCTGTGTTGTGCCATGCGCTTGTGAAGTGGCTGTTTGGTCTCTGCAATGTAGAGGTCTGGGCATTCCTCGCTGCACTGTACAGCATACACCACATTTTTGAGTTCCCTCCCCAGACGCCTTAACGCCCACTCACATCCTGGGCCATTCATTCCACTTCTCACGTGTACACCACTATGTATTGGTCTTTCACGTGGAATTCCAATAAAATTGATTCATGTCTGTGACTGTAATGTGACAAAATGTGGAAAAGTTCAAGGGGGCCGAATACTTTTGCCAGCCACTGTACTGGGAGGGTTGGGAGTCTGCTTGTTCTCCTGGTTTCGTTAACTGGCAATTCTAAATTGGCTGTAGGTGTGAATATGAGTGGTTATCTATCTGTGTTAGCTTTGTGACAGAGTAGCGACCTGTCCAACATGCACCTTGGCTTTTGCCCTACGACAGCTGGGATAGGCTCCAGCCTGCCTTAAATGAATTGGATAAGTGGAAGAAAGTGAATGGCTGGATAGAGCTCTATCAGACCGTATTCATTATGCATTGTGAGTAGGGATGGGTACCGGTGTCGTTCTGACATAAACGGTAGTAACCAGACCGAAAAGCAGCGCACATTTCGGTGCTTTATTTCGGTGCTTATTTTTCCTGAGCTGTTGATACACTTCTAGCCAATCATTTTACGTTTCCGAGGATAGTAGGCGGGGCCAGGTACGTACGTTCTGTTAGAGCAGAGCTACAGATTAAAAATGCCCAAGGCGAAGCGGTCAAAAGTCTGGCTGTACTTCATAGCAAAATATGCAAACTCAGCAGCCTGCAACAAGTGCTTTAAGCTGATACTGTGATACTGTCAAAGGAGGTAACACCTCAAATCCGATGAAACACCTGGCGACGCATAGCGTTTTTTTTAAAAGCCGAGAAATGCGCCGTATTTGATAGCTTGCTGCGAGACCTCACACCGAGCACATCTACTGCGGGTGGGTTGCCTGTTATGCAACATCCCCCAAAAACACGAAGAGGAGAGTCCTGGCCCCTAGCCCTGCCAGTGTAGCAGAAATGATGACGGATGATGGTGGCAGCAGCCGTTCTTCTCTGCGTGAGTAGCTAATTTACGTTGAGTAGGCTAACCACGTTATTACATTAATGCATGTAAGGTGAACTAGCAAACATCATCATAGCTACATGCGGCTGGCTTCTTGTTTGGCAGATACTCCCTTCACCCTGGCTAAAAAGGCTAAAATGACCAAAGAAAAAGTGGAAAACAGTTAAACATGAGAGGTTTAGGACAAAGTTTGTGTTTTTTCCATTGTTTAAGCACTGCTTCCAGCCAAGAGTGATACCATATATGCCCCATAGCTGCAGAAAAGGCTAACATTGTTATATTTTTACAAAAAACAGCTGAACATGAGAGGTTTTTGGACCAATTTTGTGTTCTCCATTCTTTAAGCACCGGTTTGAGCACCGGCACCGTTTCAAAAGTACCGATTTGGCACCGGTATCGGATAAAACCTAAACGATACCCATCCCTAATTGTGAGCAATGCCAAGCAAACAGAAAGTTCTGAATAACTCTGTCCTACTACTATTTATAACTTTTTCTGCCGCAGACATTAGCCAAACAAAAATATTACTTTCATCATCTGGTGATCAAACGTTCCGTGTTGTTGTGCTGTTGTAAGATAAGATAAGATAAGATAAGATAAGATAAGATAACCTTTATTAGTCCCACACGTGGGAAATTTGTTTTGTATTGTAAGAGCGAAGAAACAAGTCAAACCTGTCGGGACCACATCTAAGCTAACCACATTTCAGTCTGTCGGGGCCTGGTCAGAAGTTACAGGCACAAAGACGACACAGTTATTGGGTCCTGTGTCTGAAATATTTCATATGCTTGGTTATTATGGGCCTTACATTGGGGGGGGGTTGGGGTCTCTCTCTTATTGTTCTCTCTTTTGCTATCTTATTATAAAGATGTGTGTAACAGGTTTACCTGAACATAGAGCAGGTTTAGCTGAACAGGATCCCGTGAATCCACATTCTGGTCTGAATAGAAGAACTTGCGCCTGAGCAGTAGAGTCTCGCTTTCCTCCACCCCCTGTTCTCTGAATGTCCTGCTGTGGTCCAGCCAGTTCACTGCCCAATCAATACACATGCTCCATTACTAAATACATCAAAATGAACAGGCATTCAGTTTTACAAAGATGTTACTAGAGGAGGATGGTAATAGTGAAATTAACCAGGGATTTTGAGAACTGCAGACCCGTCAGCTTTGACAAAAAATCTACCAAATTTAATACTGGGAAGTGAAAATCCTGACGGGCCGTGAAGAGTCTCATTTGCATTATTTTCTGCTGAGACGAAAGCTAGTTGAAGGTTGATTTATACATTTGCAAAAACATTTTTGGTGTCCTCTGGGGGGAAAAAGATAACACAAAATTAATTAACTTTCATATGTCAATGCAATAAATTTGATTCGAGTGATAAAGTACACGTCCATATGATGGTGTTGAGTCAGATGGCTGCCGTAAAGCCATCAAGATTTCAGTAGCATTTTGGCTTTTTCAAGCTTGCACTCACAGTCGTCATCTGTGTGAAGTTTTGCTTTGAGCTTTTCCATCTTCCTTTCATCTCTCAGCAGCAGGGTCCTGTCTTTCTTCAGTGTCCCCATCCCATCCTCCTTCTTATCCTCTGGCACCTCTTGAATGAGGGAGTATTCCTCATAGTTGGTGATTCCTGAAAAGTTAGCCAGGGAGTTTTTTTTAGGAGGTGGAAATGCTTCAAGTAAGTGGTTCAATAATCACGACAGAGAAAAGCATCACTGCAATACTGTTGCAACTCTCTTTTTATCCATTTCTCTTTGCTTTGAAACAGAAGTTCAGGAAAGCTGGTATAGAGCCAGCAAAGTAAAATTGAAGCTGAAGAGGAGAAGAAGCCAAGCAGAAAGCCCTACTCTAAATAAACATTTTCCAATAAAGCTATCTGCCAGACACACATCCCTCTCTTCCTCACCCAATTAGGCATGGGAGCAGCTCATTGTAATTGAAATATACAGCTTAGGGAACACCTCTATGACAAAGAGTGACAGCATTTTCTGGGCATTAGGAAGAATACTTAAGTCGCTGATTAGAAACAAGCTTGTTTTATCCCGATGAATCATGTCCACATTGGTCTAAGCAAAACACGATTAGGACTTTATCAAGCATAGACAAATATGCTTTTCAAATACAAACTAAACAGCACATGATAACATAGTCTCCTAATGTAGCTGAAGATGAAGTCAGTGGTATGCCTTTGACTAAAAATAAAACAGAAGATGAATAATTTAAGCTTTGGGTGGTGGCGTGACATGATTAATCTTCACCGAACTCATAGCACAGATACAAACCTATTCTACTGCATATGGTGACGAGCAGCTCGCCAACTGTTTTTGAGTCATCCACCATGATAGTTTTAATGGCACCATCCAGCATCTTGATCTTCTGTGGCCTTTGTTTCTTCTTATACTCCAAGACATCCTGAGAAAACAGCAAAGGAAACGCGATGACATCCACAGCCCTACTAATCATCCTCAGCCGTAAACTGCCGCTTCCAGCAAGCTGGGAGGAATAAGTGTCTCGGCTTCCACTAGAAAATATAGATCACTTTAAGAACACATAACTGACACTGACAGTTCTCCACCCAGGACTATATGACTAAATCTTACTCCGTTTCGCAGCATGTAGTAATCCAGGGTTCTTCCAGACTCGAGCCAGATTCCTTTCCTGGGATCATCGTCAGACAGGAAGAGGCCATAATCCGAGGCTGAAACACAAAAAGCAACAGCGAATACAAATGTAGAAGCCCATAAAGTTCCATTATGTAACTCGGCTTCACCAATCATCCTCCAACCTTGTCCTGTCTGGGCTTCAGGGACTCTCTCTCTGATGATTCTGCAGGCATCATACACAGGGGTGGACGGTTCAAACTGCATCGTCTTCACCACATTACACTGGCGCACGCAAATCTTCAACGATAAGGCCACCATCTTGGTGGGTAGTATAACGGCCTTGCGACCGACCTATACTCCTGGAAGACACAGAAGGAGAGATTGTGAAGTCATATCAATGCTCCAATGTGTTTGCGTCTGTGTCAACAGGTCATTATTAAAACGCTCTCTCCAACAACACTCAGGTCAAAACTGTGAAAAGGAAATCTCAGGGGCCGAATATAATACCTAAAGGCGCAGAACAAATCCTCACAATTACCTCCTGCGGGGGCATTTTTACCTGGAATTGAATGTGCATTGTGCTCTGCCTTAGCAGCTCATCATTTCTGAGTTGTTCTGATATTAAAGTGTTACCCCAAGAAGAGCTTCTGCCTGATTGCAGTATATGTAAAATTAGCTGAACTAAGGCAAGAAACATAACCTTTCAGGAGAAGAGCACGGGGAAAAGAAGTGCAAATCTCTCTAATTGGCAAGAATAACGGAGACAAGTCAAAACACCCCCACCCCTGCATCATTATTCTCACTTCTCCCTGTTCGCACTCTCCTCCGGAAGAAGACTTCAGTGTGAGACAAATCAGTGGGTGTCTTATCATTTACTGCTATTAGGGTGAGTCAATTCTGGTATTCTTAGGCGTGTGCAAAAAAAGGAAAGAGACTGAGTTCCTCCAGCTTTCCTTGACCTTCAATTTTACATAGAGATGAATGAAAAAATAAAACGACCTATAGCCTGGGTAGTTTATCGGCAATGGCCTGATAAATCCATTTAAACCTGGAGACATTCATACTGCTGATCTAAATATTATATATCCAGATATTTAGCTGAAAATCAAAAAGAGACACATTTATGCTCTGAATTAACACTTGACTATCTGATGGTTTTTTTGATTATATGTTCTAAAATGTACTGTGACACCAAAAGAATTTTTAGTATTTTATTCCATGGTTGAATATAAAGGCAAAAGTTCAAGTCTTCACACTGACAGGATTCAGACTTCAGCCACACTCGGAAACAATGCGTTTTTTTGTGCTGAGCCACAGTCCCCCTTTGAGTCAAAGCAGAGAAAGTCTGCGAAGTAAATTTTCTATAATGATGGCATGAATGAGACCGTCTGTGATGGAGCCTCTGTCATAGACGTGAGTTCCTCTCCAATAGCTCCTTTCCTTCTACGAGTTTTTCTTCAAACAAAGTGGAAAAGATGAGCACAAAGAAGAAGGGGTAATGGCGCCGCATGAGCTCTCCTCTATGCAGGCTGGTAGAGAAGTCCCACTGAGTTTTTGTCATCCAGCACTTCCACAGATACACTCTTCCAGACAAGCAGCAAGAGACCCCCAGACTGACGATACAGCAGGCTCCGTGGCATCTCCCACCACACGCTAAATATAAGGAGGGAGCCGAAAATGTTTGCATTTTTGTGGACGTTTCTCAAAACAGAGGCCGTCTCATCCAAAAAGCAACAGTTACCTGTGATGACAAATACTTTATGGAGACTGGGTCTGCAGAAACAGTCGCTTTAGTAAGTTGTCAGTAGCATCGGTGACATCAGAGAGTAAGTAGTGCCGAAACCACATGATGAAATCCAGAAGGATAATGATAATCCCTGAGCTTACAGTAGTGTGAGAGAAAATTTTTCACTTAGATCCTCATGCAAACACTCGAAAGCATTCAACACTTCTTCAGTTCTGCTTTCGAGAAAAGATGAGACAAAACTCACAGTCATGGTGAAAAGAAAGCACACCCTCTGTCAGTGAAAACTCATCCTGGATTTTACGAGGCCTTAAAATTAGGTCAGTGCAGCCTGAGACGAACAACGCCTGACATATCACACTGTCATCGTTTGTTTAACTAACATTAAGGCAAAATGGAAATGCATTGTGTAAAAAAATAAGTGCACCTCATGATTCAGTAACTTGTAGAATCACCTTTAGCAGCAGTAACTTGAACTAATTATTTTTTAAATTACTTAATAAGTCTTGCACATCATTGTGGAGGAATTTTGGCTCATTCTTCTTTGCAACATTGTTTCAGTTCATGGAGGTCTGCAGCCATTCATTTATGCAGAGCTCTTCTAAAATCTCGCCACAGAATTTCAATCAGGCTGAGGTCTGGAATTTGACTTTTCCCACTAATAATTTTTCTGATTGTAGAATAATTCACTTCAAATTGTTTTGAGATGGTCTTATAACCCTTCTCAGACTGATGGGCAGCAATTGATTCTATAAGATCACCGCTGATGTTTTTCCTCCTTGTCATTGTGTTAATCCACTCCTGAATGCTGCAGACCAGCAAAATGCCAAAACATCTGCTCTTACAGTCGTGGCGACGCTGATAATTACTTAATGATGTGGATCTGATTAACAGCACCTGGCTGCTACTTAACCCTTTAAATTCCTATTTATTCTCAGCAGTAAGGATGTGCATGGACTGCTCCTGAATTTTGGTTTAGATTGTATAATAATGACACAGTGTAATATGTCATGGGTCATCTGAAGTTGTATTTATCTAATTCCAAGAGCCACTAAGGACCAGACCATACTTATATGTGTCCTGGTACATAAAACGTTAGAATTTAAGGAGGATATACTTTCCTTTTTTATCAAGACTGTGTGTGCCTCTCTGTTCAACCTCATATTCTTGTATTTTATCACGCTCACTAAAACAGCACGGTAGACAAACATTTCTGTAATTCCATCTCCCTTGACCATCACTAGTCCATCAGCAGAGTCCTGCATTAGATTAGGTTTGTTTGCTCCTGCAAATATTAAGACATGAAAATGGCCAAAGAGCAGCTTGCTGGGGAGTCTGAACGTGTACAATTCAATAGAGATGATGGAAGTCAGGAGCCATCTGGAGAGGATACAGCTCTAATGACTGACTGTAACACCAGCAGCAGAGCAGAACCTGAGAGCTACAACTGCTCGGATTATTGCACAAGTCTGTCACAGAACAACTGAGGAGGTGGCTAGACAGAAAACAATATTGGGCCTAATCAGACCTGATTTTATAAATGCTTCCAAACAAAATGAAAAACCTGACGCAGAATGAGGCTTAAAAGAAGTGCGAATGACAATCCTTGAAGGATAACGTGACACTACGGCACATTGCTCTCTGAAATGATTGCTTTAGGTTGACAAAACCTTCTGAAAAAGAAACAAAAAAAAAAACAAAAAACAGTGGCACAATGATAAATGTAAATGAATAAAATATATATATAATAGCTTTTTCTTTGAGTATAAAATATTTCCACATAGTGCAACAGGAGTTTCAAGGTCACTCCACTGCAACTTACAACACTGGAAAGACCGAAATTATTTCTTTGAATTTTTTTCTGCTGCATTTGTAGAAGAGTCACAGAAATAGGCATGCAGATGCAAACAACTCTTATTCTACTTACACAATCAGCAGCTATTACTGTGAGCATAAAAAACAGCCACTCTGGGATAAAAGGTAGATTACAGGGCAACTCTAAACTAAGCACTGCTATTGTAAAGACCAACAATTAGATTTTAACAAGCTGGGATGCAAGTGAATGTAACTCTGGAGCGAAGCCGTCAGTAAAACAGCAGGTAGTGTAGCTATATAGTATGCATTATTATCTTCAGCCCACGGTGTATTATTATTTTGAAAGGTAGATGTTGTATGAATGGAGAGCTGAGAGTAATTCCCGACTTCAGCAGTTCTCAAGACTGTTCAAACAGCAGCATTAAAGCATATGTGCAATGAGAAAATGTTAACTGGCTAAACCGCTCCACACCCCACCTCCTCTGCCACCTCTTTACATCCTGCATTGACACTCAGCAAAACATCAGCCTTTTATCCCTGCCTGACTGAAAGCAAGGTCAGTTCCCTTCATGTCCACTGTATGCCTCTGGATACCATCTGGAGCGCGGAAAGTTCAACAGCAGGGCATGTAATGGCAAGAGAGGGCCTTTTTAATCAGCTATGAAGTTAAATTCTATATCTCAGCAATTCACAAACTAAATTTATATTTAGCTCCACAAACTGAGAGCAACCAAGCTCATATGTGTTACAAAGAAAACAGGCAATAATCAGCCACCATAAATACTGTACATCTTTATTATGACTTCATTTACAACAAACACAGTGCAGACTTTTTAAAAATGGGCAATATTCAAAAGATAGCGTTTCATTTTTCACCTTCTCTTGAAAATGTAGCTATCAGGCTACTCCAAATATGTATATACACTATGGTATTCACTAAAGTTAGCACTCTAAAGTCAGCTAAAGCTAGCCGGTACACTGGTGAAAAACAAGCAATCAGAGGACAAATCAGTTAACATAATGACAAAAGTTGTAAAAGGTCCTTATGAAAGGTTATTTAATTTAAATGGACTAGCCCTTGTATAGTGTCTTTCTACTCAGTTGAGCACTCAAAGCTCTTTCTACAGCTGTCTCATTCACCCATTCAAACACACATTCCATTGTTCGCACTCGGTTTGATCCATTGGGAGTAACTCAGGTCTGCTATCTTGCAAAGAGTGCTTTGCATGCTTCTGCATGCAGACTGGAGAAGTCAGGGATCCATTCACTGACTGTCCAGTTGGTAGACAACACGCTATACCACTTGAGCCACCCCGTTTATTATATACAATCTTATATCATAATTACTTTTTGATTTGTTTTCCAACAAACTTTACAACAAAGTAGGAAATTCCTGCATACACTGCAGGATTTGCTCTTCAGGTTTGCCAACCTTTATATGCTTTATACATTAATAAAGTTAATATGGGAGAAGTTTTCAAAAGTCAAAGAGAAAACATTGGAAGACATTTTCTTGTTAGATGACATGGCTACTGAATTTAGCGTGGCCAGCTGGGCTTAGGGATAGCAGACTTACTTTGTGTTGAGCAGGCAGATGAGGTGTTGCAAATTCAAACAACAGAAAAGAAAGAAAAGAAAAGTACATTCTGGAAGCTCTTTGTAAGCCATCCAATGTTTCATGTATAAACACTGAAGTATGTCCCAAAAAGATGTAAAGCAACAGAATGAATTTCTGCATAGAAGCACCTCACTAAAGAAATTACAGATGATTTTGATTAGCAACTATAATTACATGCCTTC